AGAGAGAGAGAGAGAGAGAGAGAGAGAGAGAGAGAGAGAGAGAGAGAGAGAGAGGCAGCAGCGGCAGCAGCAGGCTTCTACTGGCACAACGAGGGCCGCAAGAAAATGGCTGCACAGATGAATGGGTAAGTTAGATGTACTTCTGGCCGTTTGAACGGCAGCTCTGGGACATTGAAACGGGGGTTCATGGGTTCGCTGGGAGGGGGTCCATCCCCAGACTCTGTATGAACCCCCTCCCAGCGAACCCATGAACCCCTGTTTCAATGGCCCAGGGTCCCCAGGCTCTGGTGTGAGGGTCGATAACCCCGGCAAAGTGTGTCCGTCCGTCTCTCCACCAACAATGGGAGCAAAGAGAGGACTATGGAGAGCGTAGAGGAAGGTCAGGGGCATGGACAGGATACAGAAGGGGAGGCAAGTTCTCACAACAGATTGAGAGAGAGGTTGGAGGGGGTGTGGGGGATGCGGAAGCGGACAAGGTAATGCATCAGAGGAGGTTGGAAGTTTGATGTGGATGATCAGGAGAGTGCAGGTTGGGGAGACGGAGGGAGCACCGATGAAGGGGAGGGAGCACATTCAGGGGGAGGTTCTGGGCAACACATTAGGGGAGGTTGGTATGGGAGAGGAGGTTGCTGGGCTGGGAACAGAAGGAGATGGTGACAGAGAAGTCTTTGGGGGGGGTAGGTGGGGAGGGAATTTGTAGGGAGTGTTATGGGGTCAGGTGATGGGGTTGCCAGCCAGCAGGTCAGAGTATTGCAGGGAAATGTTATTTGATGACATTGTGTTCTAGTGGGGCCGCAAAATGGAGGGAAGTGCAGAGCATAGGCGAAAGTTGGCGGGATAAGGGGGATGGACCATTCGTGTCAGGGGATCAGTTCAAGGGGGAGGTCCAATTGGAGTGGGCTCACCCACGCACGTCGCACACACATCATCCTTGTCCGGCGAACAACCGACACAGCAGCCTGAGGAGGAAAATAGACTTCTGTATGAGCCTCCTACAGAGCACTGTACTGATAGGTTATAACCACCAGGGCAAGGCTTTGTAGACCAAATACTGCAACAGCTAAACACTCTTGCTTTGGATCAGTCCCCATCGTTATCTGTCCATAGAGAGGAAATAACGACTGCAGAAACCCAAGAAACTTGCTCAATGCCGCTCTGTGAGGCCCACCTGAGATTCGGCTAGCATGTGATTCGCATGCCTTGTGTCGTGCGGATTATGAATGTATAGTCCATGCAAGTTTTTGTTTTCAAATATTTGATGACAGTAGACATTGCACTAATGTACGGCACCCTGACATGCCATGTTGAATTTGTAGACACGGGCTGCAACGGCGATGCCTATACTATTCCGGTCGGCGTGCCTCTGTGTTCCTAGCATGCAGGAGACAGTTAGCCTGTGACATCTATCTATGCCATGCTATTCAGTGCAACTGCAAGAATTGGATGCAGTGCCTCTACGAGAGACTGTGGTCGCAAGTAAGGTTTTGAACAGTTTAAGTGGGGGAAAGGGGGGGGACGAGAGGGAGTTGCGCTCTGCCAGTCGGTGCCCGTGTGCACGTCTTCTGAAACTCATGAAAACAGAGACCAGCCGGCAATTCATCAGGGACGAGGTCCCGCTCGCAAAGAGGATTGGATTCAGCTCCTGAATCTGGATGTGACTTCAGCAGAGATGCAGAAAGAAGCTCAATTCCGATTTTCTGCAAACATGTCTAGATTCAGGCACTCAATCCAATCCTATTTGCTATTGCTAGTGGGACCTCGCCCCAGGGGCTTATGGGGGCCGACAGCCATGAAATGACAGGGATGGTAAAATAATTTTTTTGTTGGAAAATCGTTGAAATGCCCCTGAATGCTGGGGCATGTCAACAAATACCCCTGACAGGCATGGGTATGGCGAAATACCGCTGTGACGGTTCTGAAACTTCGCGAAATACCCCACTGACTGATTGGACCTGCCATCTTGTGCATATACCCCTACAGGGCCCTACACAACTTGTCCATATGCCCCGGTACATCTGGCCGTTGGACCCTTGGCAAAAACTTGCAAATGCCCATACAGGTAGCTGCTAAGTTTTCAGCTTGCCCCTGTAACCGTTAATAGCCTTACCAGCAGTGTTCCTGCACATGGCTCTGCGGGTGATGAAGATACAACTCAAAATGGACGAGGGATGTGCAAAGATGGAGGTGGGAAGGTGGCAGTAAAGGAGGGTGGGGGAAGATGATGTAGATGGCCATGGGAAGACAGGGAAGTGCAGGAAGAGCGAAGGTGATGAGGATGATGATGATGGACATAGAAACGTAGGAGGGGGTGGAGGAAGAGGAACACGAGCAAGTGGAAGAGAGAGAGAGAGAGAGAGAGAGAGAGAGAGAGAGAGAGAGAGAGAGAGAGAGAGAGAGAGAGAGAGAGAGAGAGAGAGGGTGGTTTCCCCCAAAACATTTTATACTCTTGATAATGAACTATACAAGCGATCTTTGCGGTCCGGTACAAGTTCTGTACATCCATAACGAGGATGCGTTTTGCTTGGGGGAAGACACCCATTCTCTCTTTCGTTCTCGCTCGCTCTCCCTCTGCCCGGTACCTTCTTCCCCCAAATACAATGCACCCTTGTTATTGTTGTACTAAACCCTACAGCTCGCACCGAAATATTATCTATTTGGGTGCATTGTGTTCATGGGGGATACAGTTGCGGTGTGCTACTGTTTTCCCCGTGAACACAACACAGCTTGATGATGGATGTATACAAGCAATCTTTCCAGCGGGGAGGGCAATACACGGGCAATAAATGACGAGCAAAGTGTCGAGGTTTCCAACCCCCCAGCAGGAGATTGAGAGGTCAACACAACACTTTTAAGATTCAAATTGGTGGCGCCAAGTTGGATGTGGGGCAGGCAGAAAAGATGTCTGCCTGGTGGAGGGGCAAATGGCGAAAAATAGTGCAATGCTCTTTGCGGTCCATGGTCAAGGGTATATGACAAAGTGGCCTTCGCAGTCGACAGCCAAGGGCATATAGCAAGGTTGCCCATCGTCGGGACGGACTAAAACAGAAGTTCGGTGCATTTCATCCTACCCATGTGTTTTAGGGATATCTGATGACATATCCCAACTTTCACGGGTATTTCAATAATTTGCCCAAAAGACAAAAAAAAAAAACTTTTCAAGTCCCTTACCCGGGTCATTGTGAGTGTTTTTTTTTTTTTTTTCCCATTGTGAGTCTAGAGGCCTTGCTCCAACACCCTTGAAATGCAAAAAAAAACAACCGCATGGCGGTATATCTCTCAATGTTCCAGCGGAAGATTGTTTTGCACATTTTGTGCGCAGTGAAGCGAGGTTCAACCAGGGACAGACGAATAGTTTGGGCAAGTGAGCACCGGTCAAGTAGGTATAGAGGTTATAAGATGCAAATGTGACTAAGCATTTCAAGCAAATCCCAAAGTGTGTTTCGCTAACGAAACACCGAATATACAAAAGTATATAACTCCAAAAAAAAACTAAGTAAAACCCAAAGTGTATTCTCACTAAATGAATGTAATTACCTTTGGTATACCACGTATAAGACTTCTTCCATTGTAGATTCGGTGAAAATTTAACCATCTTTCCATTTCAGGAGATGGCCAAAGCTATCGACTCTTTAGTAATCTTGTACACCGGTCTTGAGCAAATCATGCTTTGTTCGTTGTACATGTCGGAAGCTACAATCTTATATCCCCTATAGATTTTGTGTGTCATTGCCGAAACACACTTCGGAACTTTTATGAAATACTTAATAATTACCATCTCATATCCCTAATAGATTCGGTGTTCTGTTATTGAAATATTTTTTATTATTTTCATCAAATACTTGATCATATTATGATCTTATGTCCGCCTAGATTTGATGTTTTATTATCGAAACACACTTTGGGATTTTCGTGATTTA